TTACCCCCGGAATAGTTCAAATAAAGCCTACATGATCTGTATATTTGGTACTGAGTCATTAATATCATACTGTATTAGTAGTGGATCAATGTCAAATTATCTTGTATAGTATTTATTACAATTAATGCCTTGATATATTTTTTACGGTTATTGAAATTATTTACATTTTACACATACATATTTCATGGTCATACGCCTATTTCTGAACCTGTAATTGATTGGTCATTTTGTTAGCCAAGCTAAAACTGAATACCACCGACAAGCGCGTATTCTTAGCGATGCTGTGATTGGTCAGTTAAGATTGATTGACACTTATTTTTAATTTCCCTAATTTTGATGTCCTTTTTTGGTACGGTACCCTGCTTTTTCTTTTACTTGTTTTGTAGCTGTAGTTGTTGCTGTGGTTGTTGTAATTGTATCATTTATAATGTTTTCTTATTTTTTATTTTTTTTTTTGTACTTTAATGTTGTGATGACTTTTAAACGAGAATTTTAAATGTTTCATATTTATATTTTGTATATTACTATTAATCTTTCTGTACATTTCAAATTTTCCTTAAGTTTGCAAATAAAGTTATTTTGAATCTTTTTGAATCTCCGGAAAGTCTTATGGACTAACTTAATAAATGTATGATAAGTACATTAATAATTCGTTTATCAGGATTACCCACATTTTTTTAATAGTTTATCACTTTTTTAATTAAAAAGAAATATTGATCGAGTTCCTAGTCCACATATCAAGCGCCCTGAGCATCTTACATTTACATTATATGGATATGTGCGTTATATAAAACTACACTATTATTATTATTATTATTATTATTATTATTATTATTATTATTATTATTATTATTAAATTATATGAAGTGTAATTTAGACATGGGTTTCTTCTGCTTTGTTATAGTTTTCGCCGCACGACTTTAACCTTAACTTTAACGTTAGTACCCAACATGCAGCGCGATAGCTCCGCCCCTTTTGTACACAAATCGAAATACACATGCGCAAACCCGTAACTAACGTACGCAACGCAAGATGAACAAATTATGACGTCATCTGTTAACGTTAAGGTTAACGTCGTGCGGCGAAAACTGCCTATTGACAGTTCCGGGCATTACAGCCCATAGTGCTTCCAAGAGCCAAAATAACAAACCTTGTCCAAGTTAAGCTTCCATAGCCGTAATTGAAATAACGATAGAAAAAAAAAAGATAAAACAGAGATCATAATAAATTCATTTTATTGGAATAAATATTTTAGCAATGGACCAGTCACTATTTAAAATATGGTGCGAACCATGTATGTATGTAGGCCTATATTATTGGGATTTATAGGCCTAGCTCATAATACCGGGGAGGTCTGCACTGATTATAAAATAAGGAAAACGCCTTAAAATTGTAATACATTAAAAAGTATATGATGATGATTATTATTATTAGGACTAAGAATATGATGATGGACTTCTACTGAAATGACGCTGATTTCATTGTCTTTGAATTATCAAACTAGTTTGAATGTGTAAGAAAAAAATGCAGGTCTCCTTTTAAACCTCCCTCATCCCATGGCTACATAGCTGACTGCAGCTCACTACGCAGCCGTGGGGTGCGGAAGGAAGAAGAGCTCCTGCATTACCTGACGGAGGTCACCGACAGGCAACTACAGAAATATTCAGCAATCATATTTAATATGCAGTAGAAGGCTGTATCGTAACAAAATGGTGTCACAATTTAGAATAACAATTAATATTATGTTTCTTTATCCTTAAATATTAGAAATACTTATGCTTATCATTATATTCTTACATGTCTTTTGTTAATATTTAGTTTTTATGCATAAATATTTAAAAATCGAACGAATAGTAACTAGCATGATGTAGGCCTACATCATTATTAACGTCATATATATCATATCCGAAATAAAAAAAACATGAGTCATGCTAGAGAAGGGGCTTTCTTCCGAAAAAAAAACGCGTCATTAATGATAGTATACGATGGGGTATGAAGGTTGATGATGCACGTGTGTTTTTTGTTTCATTTTATTCATTTATTTTCGAGGATTATAAAAATTCTACCACAGAACCGGAACTGAAAGTTCAAATAAGGCCTAAATGATCTGTATTTTTGGTACTGGAACAAACAGAGCCCTTTAATGTTCATATGCTGTTAATCAAGGAGGTGCTACCTTGAATTGACCTGAGATAGCCTACTAGCACCACCTACGGTACTTAAATCGTATCGGTATATAGTAGTCGATCAATAAAGTATCTTGTATCTTGTGGTATTTAATACCTTGCTTTTTTCCTTTACTGTTATTGAAATGATATTACTGTACATATTACATGTGTGTGGTTGTGGGTCATGCACCTATTCTTGGACCTGTCCTCATTGATCATTTTGTTAGCCGTAACTAATACTGAATACCACACTAAATCCTTTTACGTTGATCATCATCACCACCACACATTACAATAGAAATTTGAATACTGACGAATAAGTAGTAATCTGTGAATCATAAAGTACATATTAGAAGATGTCTAAAATTAAAT